AATTTTGACATGAACCTCTCCCCCTTCTCTTTCATCTTCTGCTGCTTCACCTGCCTCCTCTCCAGCTTGGCGCCCACGTGTGGCTGTTACAGCCACGAGTCAGAGTCTAGAGTCCCTGTCTCCTGGCTTGTCCTCCTCAGCCCCAGAAGCCCCTCCCCACGTGTCCCCGCCACCCCGACCCTCCCTCTGAAGATGTTCTCCTTCTCGCCAAGGTCAACACCGTGCCTGACCTGCTCTCTGTCCCCCCACCCTCGGCTCCCTGTGACCTCGCTCCATCAGGCTTCCTCTCTCCCACTCGTGTTTTCCTCCTTCACGTGGTTGCTACCCTTGCAAATAAAAAGTGCTCACGCTCCCTCACGCCACAGACTCTTTCTCAGCCTATCGCGGCCCCTTCTCCTGCAGAAGTTCTTTAGAGGCTGCTCTGCACTGGTTTCCTCCACCTCCCTGCGGCCCAATCACTACTTTAAATAAGTAAACAATTACATGTAAAACTCATACATGTACATGATAAAGATGCACTAAAGAACGTACAACATGGGAAACTGAAACCTCTTCCTGGGAAGGAGAGATGAGTAAGTAGAGCACAGAGGATTCTGAGGGCAGCTACTGTGTAGTGTGGTACATGCCTTCACACATTTGTTCAAACCCATAGCATGGTCTCCATCGAGAGAGAACCCCAAAGTAAACTGTGGACGTTGGGTGATGGTGTGTCAATGTAGGTTCACCAATTATAACAAGTTGCTGTCTGGTCTTGCTGGTCCAGAGAACCCAGGGATCAAGCACCCATCCATATGCTTCGGGGAGGGAGACCCTGGCCTCGGGGTGAGCATGTGAACCAGGTACAGCCCAGGAATATCGGGAGTCTGCCAGGAAAAAGCATGGAGGAGGAACGCCCTGCTTGTGCCCGCCTCTGCCCACTTACTACCTTACAACACAGTGTGTGAGGACGGATGCTCAGAGCGGTTGCGGCCAGCCTGCAACCCCGAGGGAAGACCAGGAGAATCTCAGAGACACTCGCCCCGAGCCCTGGGCCACTGAGCCTCTCCCCACACCCAGCCTCCCGACAGCCAGGAAAAGCCAACCCCTCTAATCACAACCAGTTCCTTTCTGCCTAAGATATTTGAATCAATAAGTATGGTTAGAGGCTGGAGCGACAAAAATGGGTATTATATGATGCTTGTTCACACGATGCTCTGGCATGTAGGCCCAAGTGCTTTCCCTCGAAACAGCCCAGGACCCCACTGAGGAAATCCAATCGCAGCCCCAGGGGAATCCTTCACCCTCCATCCCCCCCAACCACGCCCATCCCAAAGGAGACTGTCTGAAGCCTGTGAGATGTCCTTCCGAGGGGTGGGAGAGAGAACAATGCCACTTTCTTTGTGATGCCCCCAATAAAAAGGTTCCTAACAAATTCAAACTAAATAAAGGGCTTAGTTTGGTTTGCCTGATGTGATTAGGTGAAGGAGAGAAGAGGAATAGGGGTTATTCCCTCCCATGAGCCAAGAGCAAGAATAAGATCTGCGTGTGGTGGGACACCTAGAGAGCTCAAGGACACAGTCTCGAACTTACGTGACAGCAAGAAACCTCAGAGGGACCTGGGGACTTCAGGTCACCAGCATTAGTGGGTGACACACCACATCAAAACTGAGTCAGGACCTTAGGAAAGGAGGCAACAAGAAAGCCCTTCCAGGTATATGCGGGGGGCTCACCGGAAAGCAGCCTCCACCCCTGACCTTGGTTGAATTTCGGGTCCTTCAAGTCAGGGACCCTCTCTCCTCATTCCTCTGGTCAGTTTGGGACCTAAAGTATCTACCATTCCAAGATGCCGTGAGGCGGGGAGAGGATGTGTGTAAGGCTCCTGGCCCTGACCCGGCTCTCGGTGGGTGCAGAGTAAATGGTAGCTGTCAATGCCAATGCGTTCGGCATGGAGCTCTCCCACCTAGAGGTGGGAGGTGAGGAAACAGTCTGACCAGAGTTACTACACCTGGGGTCACAGTCAGAAGTCCTCTGTGGTCGAATCCAGAGTTCGAATCTACAGGTAGGGTTGGGGTGGGCCTCCTGGTCAAATCTGGAGAGGTCCAGAGAGAGAGCCTCAAACAAGACCAGACTGAAAATAGACACAGCCACCAGCCAGCATCTTCCTGCGTCTGAAGGCTGCTGGCAACGCGGCTCATTCACTTAGAGCAGCCTGCCTAAAGGGAAGAAATGGCTGCGATCATGCTAGAAAATCCTTAATTCATCTAACGTTAACTAGACTACAATTTCCTAACAACTGGACTGCGTGTGATTGATTGATCTTTGTGTCTGGCCCAGAACGGTGGGTTAGTGTGTGTGTGTGGTGGATGCATGGGTGGATGGATAAGGACCAGTGTGTATCTGGCCTCTGATAATACCGGAATGAAAGCCCTTTCCCTGCCCTCAAGGAGCTCCGTGTAGGTGCAAGAAAAGGAATAAGAAAGAGCAATGGCATGGAATGAGTCGGGCTCAGCATGCTGTGTGAGCTCAGCTGAGGGGCACCCCATCCAACAAGGAAAAGACGTATGTATTCAGGGGTCCTTCCTAGAGGAGTCTGGATCCTGATGCACCAGCACGTCTTTGATGGGCCAAAGCCATCAACCCTCGCTATGCCAATGCAGCAGGGCAGTCTACACTCTGAATTCTCCACTCAGCGGAAGCCACAGCATTTTCTGAGAAACGGAGCAGACACCCCGTCTCTGCCGTCTGTTTGTGTTCCATGTCTCACATAGTCCCTCATGAAAAGTCCTGCAGTGGTGTCCTGTGGCCCTCCACACCCAGCCTCTGTCCCAGGTACCCAAACCCTCAGGGGACCCTGTGCAAACACTCTTTGGAGGTTCACTCCGCCAGTTTACCAAAAACTCCACACCTACACTTCTGAGCTCGTCTGAGTCAGCACACTTGACTACAAGGTGATTTAGCATGATGGACGCTGGCCACAGGGATCCCAGCAGGAAGCCTGAAAAGAATGACAGATTGCACTGAGGTGAGGAGCGAGCGGGAAGCGAGGAAAGGCCAGAGAGCAAACACAACAGCCAACTTCATGAAACGTGTCTGTTAAGAAAAAAGAATGGAGGCAGGAAAGCAGGCCCAATGAGATAGAAGGTGGTGTTTGTGGTTTTTAACAAGGGAGAGACTTGAGCAGTCACATGCTGAGGAAAAAGATTCAACAGAGCAGGAGAAGTGAACCCAGACACTGAGGAGAGCAAGGCTCGGAGGGGCAGCCAGATACAAGGTGTGCTGATGACCGTGGCGGAGCGAGCAGGAGGAGGCAGCTCCGAGCGTCCTGAAGAGACCCTGGCCTCAGGGAGGGATTGGCCACAGGAGTCCAAGCTAAAGGGAGAAAAATAAGAGGGACAGCCCAGACTCTCCCAAGAGCTTATTCAGGAGGGAGATGAAGCTAAGGGTTGAGAAGTCCCAAGCCCTGACCAACAAGTGCCCTGGGCCTGCTCGCCCCACACGTTCGTTTTGTTGGCAGAGATCTCACTTCTTAGCGCCCTCTCTGTGATTTGGAACCGGCGTTTCCCATTTGCCAGTTAATTTCAGTGATAATTAGAGCAGCTTGCAGGAGTGACTTTTCTTCCCTTGAGAAATCACACTAGGCTTGGGAGTCCACAGACAGGGCAGTCCATGGAGAAGTCAGGTCGACCCGCCACACCTCTCTGAAGATACTCTAGTTTTCAGTGTGAAACTGTTACTGGATGGGGACTGGGCCAGCCGGCAGGAAAGATTCCACAATACGAGTCCAGGTGGATTTAAGAGTGTATTTCTTCTTAAAGCTGGGGACAGTGAGAATTTAGGAGAAAGAAAATAAAAGTTCACACCTGAGCTAAGGCCTGGCCCTGCTCCAGAGAGACCCCCAGCTGACATCCTTTGTCTTGAGGGCTTTTCTCTCTCTTTTGCAGATGGGAAGGTTTCAGCAGCATATTCATCAGCTTTCTAGGCATGGTTTTTAATATGTTAATGTACCAAAATGAGTGTGTAGAGGGACTAGGGTCATTTTCTGATCAGCTTTGCCTTATCTTGGATTTGTTTTAGTCTGATTGTTTTTGTTGTTGTTGTTTATTCTAATGACACTAATGGGGTCTCTGTTATCTACCTCCCGGACCAGCTGTGACTTAAGCTATTTACTCTCTGGTTAGGGAGGCGAGGTGTAAATTATTTGCTCCCAGCGTCCTTGGTTAGGGAAAGTAAGAAGATAAGATCTATGATTTACTAGCTCAGCTGTAAATTGCTTAGCTTGTTTGTCTCTAACCATATGTTTCAGTTTCCCTTTTCCCACTTGTAAAAAAAAAAAATTCTAACATCTAACTATTCTGCCTCAAAACTTCCTGTGGAAAAGGATGAGTCACTTTGAAAGGAGATGGCTATTCTTCGGTTTGCTTATGTAACTTACTGAACAGAGTGGGGGTCAGAACTGACCTGGGCCAGCAGCCTTTGGCCCGCCTACCGGGGAGCATGGGCAGGCACCCCAGGGCAGAGCATTATCCTGCCCAATGTGGACAACAGCTACCGGCACAGCTGCTGCCACAAAGGAATACAAGCTGTTTCGTCAGACCTGACTTCTCAGAGAACAAATTCTTTTATGAAATTTCCAGATTTTTAAATGTTGTAAAATCATTCCTTCGAAACACTCACCGCAACAAAACACCCTGTGCAGGCTAAGAAAACAGCCCTGGGAGCAACCTCAAGACCAGTCACAATTTTAGTTTCACTTCCTGTAAGGAGATTTCAACCCGTCCTATTTCTTGAATGATTCTGTTTGCTCACTCGTTTTTAAAACCATCTGTCCCGCACGGCAAACAAAGATTTTACAGGAGGAGGGCACTGCCAGGTCACTGGGGGCTCAGACGCCTCCCTGGGGCTGGTCTGTGCTGTGGGAGTGTTCTGACCCTGCTTCCTGCCAAAGAGCAGGGGCCACGAAAGCTCTGAGACAATGACACCCCGAGCCCAGCCACTGATGAAACGCAAGTATGCATTCCTTGGATTCACTGGCTGGTGAATCACCTCAGGGTGTAATGACTGTGGGGCTGTCCCTTTAAAAACCAAGCAGGCTAGGCTAATTGGGCAAACTCCTCCTCCAGGGAGGTTCCTTTAAATGCGGGCCAGCTAGCTGACTGGGCCTCCGTTCTTACTCCGGAGCGGTACCTGCCGAGGAGGCTCCCCGCCAGGATGCAGCCCACCTGCACGGCCGAGGAGTTTGTGGACAGCCACATCAAGCCTGGGAGGATGGTGCTGTTCATGAAGCCCACCTGCCCCTTCTGCAGGCGGGCTGAGGAGCTCCTCTGCCAGTACCCCTTCAAAAGAGAGTCGTTGGTAATTGTGGATATCACCGTCACCAGGAACACAGAGAGGATTCAAGATTATTTCCAACAGCTCACAGGAGCCAGAACGGTGAGTCTGGGGTGTTGTTCTAAAAGGTCGGGTGTGTGTGTGTGGCGGGGAGAACACCCAATTCTTTTCTTGTTAGGGCCCTGAAAGGGTATGCCTGTGCTTTTCTCTAGGACACCGCTAGGGCTCCGTCAGTCGCTTTCCCTTGAATGGGCAGCGGGACTGCAGCCAAGGGCCCAGTGTGCTGGGCGTCGGGTCCCTGGGTCCAGCAGCTGTGAGGAGGGAGCCGGAGTCTTTGTTTCAAACATGCTGCTAAGAGTTTCCAGCTTGCAGGGCTGGGGTGGGCGGTGGGGTGAAGGGGCCAAGTGTGATCTGTACATTTCTGTTGTCCACATGAAGATCTTGTGCGCTCTGCTGTTTTCACGTGGCCAAGTGGGATTTGCTGCCCTTCGGTCTTTTCTCTAGGCTCTCTTTAACATTAACCTAACGTGCTCATTCTCCCTTATCTAACTCCATCCACTGGAAAAAATTTAATTCATAAAAATGGCTTATTCTTTGCCCCTTGTTCTACATTATGGGGTGTTTTTAGGCCTCTCAGAGGAGGAAGTCCAGAGGCTAGAGTTCCGGCCGGGCTCTCTCAGTGGCTTGCTGTGTGATCCTGGGCAGGTCACCACCTCTGTGGTCAAGGACCTCCTCGCTGCAAGGCCAACCTCTACATTTCCTTTGCTATGAGTGGACTGAGGGACCCTCTAAGACAGCGGTTCTCAACCTGTGGGTTGCGACCCCTTTGGCGGTCGAAGGACCCTTTCACAGGGGTCGCCTAAGACCATCCTGCATATCGGATACCTACATTACGATTCATAACAGTAGCAACATTACAGTTATGAATGTAACGTAGCAACGAAAATAATTTTATGGTTGGGTCACAACATGAGGAACTGTATTTAAAGGGCCAGAAGGTTGAGAACCACTGCAAGAATTGCTGTCCTCTATCTGAAAAGGCTTCTTGTGGGGTGCCCACCCAACCAGGCTGCCTGTCTCAGTCCTGGTGCTGGCTGGGGTGAATGGTGTCCCACCAGCTCACTCAATTCCCTTTCCAAATGCACATTCTAGGGCTCAGGGTTGCAGAAGCACATATCCTAGTTCCATGTGAGTTTGGCTTACCGGGTTTTCTCTGGGCTCTCAGTGAAACTACGGAGGCTTTCTCGCTGCCTCTCCAGTGAGAAACCAGCCCTCTGGTGCAGAGGGAGGCGACCTGGGTTCCCCCTTGCTTCCAGGGCCCCAGCTGTGCCCCCCCCCCCCCCCCCCCCCCCCAGCTGTCTAGGCGGCTGGTCTGTGAGAGGAAAGAGTCAGGCAAATACTGCCAAGGCCCTCTCTGTGCTGGGTGCTCTTGGCCAGTGGTTCCCAAATGTTGCTACACATTAGAATCACCTGAGGAGCTTTAATAAAAAATAAAATCCCCATGCCCACGTCGTATCCCAAACCAATGAAATCACCGTGTCAGGCCTCAGTAGTTTTAAAGGTCCCTAGGTCAAAGGGTACAAGCTTTTAGTTATGAGTAAGTTCTAGGAATCTAATGTTCAGCAGGGTGACAAGTTAATAATACTGTATGTATGCTTGAAATTTGCAAAGAGAAGAGATCTTGTTCTCACCGCACACACAAAAATGATAAACGTGTGAGGTGATGGGTGTGTTAATTGTGGTAATCATTGTAGTGTCAACATAAGCAAACCATGATATTTCATACCTTAATATATACAATTTGTCAATTGCACTTCATGAAAGCTGGGGGAAAGTTTTATTTTCTATCCAAAGAAAAGATCCCCAGGTAATTCCAATTTGCAACAAGTTTTGGGAGCTACGGCTTTCAGCTGGGCAGCATCTGTTCTTTACAGGAGAAACAAACCTCTTCATGCATGCACCAATACTTTTTTCATTTCTTTGTAATGCAATGATTTTTCTCCTAGTGGTCTTTTACATTTGTCTTTCAATTAAAACAGTTTTTCACTGCTTCCTCCAAGGGGAAGAGCAAATCCCTTAGAGTTGGGTGCTTTCTGATCCCCCACAGCGATGGGTCTGTGCTGGGAGAGATTGAAATATTGGGAGCAGTTGCTATCTGACCCTGTACTGGCCCCAGGTGCTGTGCATTCAGGAAGAGCCCAGCAGGACTTGATTGTGTCCAGAAGTGTATGCCTTCAATCAGGCCTGCAACTGGAGAAACCCATTTTGTTTTTGCTACAGCCCCCCTCTCCTGGATCAGTGCCTTCATTTAGTCCAGTGGTTCTCAACCTTGGCTGCACATTAGAATCACCTGGTAATCTCTTTAAAATCCTGATTTTTGGGTGGGCCTCATCCTCCGGAAATTCTGTTTCTTTGTTATGGGGTGAGGCCACATTAGTAACAAAGAAACAGAATTTCCAGAGGATGAGGCCCAGAAATCAGGATTTTAAAAAAGATTCCCAGGTGATTCTAATGTGCAGCCAAGGTTGAGAACCACTGATTTAGTCCTTCTCTGAAACTCTTCTTCACATAGATTCAAGTTTCTGACCTCTATCATTTTCCTTCTCTCTGAACTTCTTTAAACATGTCTTGCAAGGCAGGTCTACTGTCAAAAAATTCCCTCAATTTTCATTTGTGTGAGAGAGTCTTTATTTCTCCTTCACTTTTGAAGGATAATTTTGCTGGACACAACAAATATTTTAAAGCACCCATTACATACGAGGCACTTTTCTGGCCATTGGAAACACCTCCATGTGCAGAAGAAACAAAAACTTGGCCCGTGTGGAACTTACACTCTAGTAAATACAATGAATAAAATAGTATGTTGGAAGGTGATAGGTGGTAAGTGGTAAGTAGGAAAGGTAAGGAGGCTAGAAGCAGTAAGGTAAAGTTGTAAATGGGGCCGTCGGGGTCTCACTGTTTTGACTAGATCTCTCAAGAAGGTGAGGGGGCAAGGCTCACAGAAATTTAGGAGTAAGAGTGATTCAGGCGGGGGGAATAGCAAATGCAAAGGCCCTGCCTAGGCCTGAGGTGTGCCTGACAGGGACGCCTGTGTGGCTGGAGCACTGGTAGCTGGTGAGGCAGGAGGAGGAGCCGAGGTCTGAGAGGTAGTAATGACCCAGGCTAGTGGTGTGAGATGAGCAGAGGGGTGCCGGGATCTGCCTTAGTTTTGGAAGAGCCACTCTGGTGGCCGTGAGGAAGAGACTGGAGGAGGGCCAGGCTGGAAGTTGAAATGCAGACATCTGGAGGCTACAGCTTTAATTCAGATGAGACATGACGGTGGCTTGTACCAAGGACAGCCTAGGTGAGTGACTTTGGCTGCATCCGAGTAACCTTACGGCACAGACAATACCTCCTAGCTGAGGCTGGGGGCTGGAGACACTTACTCCTCATACCAAGCTTGCTTATGGTAGGAGTTGTCTTTCTCCTTGACAGTAACAGACTCAAGTTCCCCAGAAACGGGAATGGGGCCAGGACGGGCAGGCACTGAGGGGGCCTCTTCCTTCCTCAGCTGAATCAAGTTTCCTGTTTTGCCACCACAGACACACACACATACACATGGGTGCAGCTTGTAATTCAGCTTTTTTGGAGGTGCTGGTACTGGTGCTTTAAGGTGGTTTTGGGGCTGCGGACACTAGAGGGTGGGTGTAAGAGCAAGGGGGCCTTTTGGCTCTCAGGCCCACCAGCTCCCTTGCCAGAGGGTGGACGCAGAGCTCCACCCTGGAGACAGCTGATCGGGTTTCAGGCCTGTCTTGGACATCTGGAGGCTGCTGGAGGCCTGGGCGTTTTGAAGTCTCAGTTACCCTGGGAGGAAGGAACAGATGCTCAGTGTCAACCAGTCGTTGCAAACACGATCCCTGCAGCAGCAGCATCACCTGGGAACTTATCAAAAAGCAAATTTCTGGGCCCCAACTCAGATCTCCTGTATCAGAAATTGGGAGGCGGGGGGCGTGTGTAGAGATCTGTGTTTCCACAGGCCTGTTGGCAGGTGGGTTGCAAGTTCCACTGTCTGAAAAGAGGACTCCTGGTTTCTCAGGACTCCTACTGACTTACCTCACACCCTTCTGGCCCACACCCCACTCAAAGGTGGAGAGGTAGCAAGCTGCAGAAGTGGTGACAACTGCTCACTTCTTTTTGCAAAGACAGAAAAACTCTAGAATGCCTACATCTCTTCCTTATACAATATAAAATAATCTAATATAAAAATCAGGCGATTTGTATTTCATTAGGCCCTGCCTGCCATGGGAGTTCTGCAATATATTAGAACTACATTAGGATTCTGCTCTATTTACTGTTACAACTGACCACAGCCGAGTTTTCCTGGGGAGACAGAAGCCAAAAGGCCCCAACAATTTGTGAGGGAAGCTTTATTTTCTCTGAAATAATGGCAGGACCTAGGGGAGCACTTAGGCTTCTGACCTCAACTCTCTGCGGCTATTCTTCTCTCAGCCTCAGAAAAGCAATGCTGCCCGGATGACACTGTCCACCTGCAAAGCCCCACCCAGGCTGTGCTGCAGGTGGAGCAGGCAGCACTCTCAGAGGCTTAGGAAGACAGCGCCGGGCTTTCTCTCGGGAATGCAGCCCGGAGTGCTCTTGCCCACTCTTGGGGCACAGGAAATATCTGGACTTCTTTAATATCAACAATACTTGGCCTTAATTTTTAAAGCCCACTTCCACCCAGACTCCTCGCCCCCTTTATTATTTCCTCAAAAAATGTTTTTACTGTAATTTTATTGATTTCAGAGAGGAAGGGAGAGGGGGAGAGAGCTGGAAACATCAATGATGAGAGATAATCATTGATTGGCTGCCTCCTGCACGCTCAGGTATCAAACTGTGACCTCCTGGTTCATAGGTCGACACTCAACTATTGAACCACATTGGCTGGGCCAGATCCCTTCTTAATAAACATCATGTAAGGACTTACCTGAAGTAACTCGGCCCCTTTTCTCATCTCTCTCCCTTTTTAGAAAGTTTACTTGAATTACTATGGCTTCCGAGGAAAGCCGAAAGCTTTGAAAATATCCTTACCGCCTCTTGTCTGTCGCCTCTCCTGGCTTGTTCCTGGTGCTCAGGAAGAGGGCCACCACGCAGGTGGCCGATACAGTGCTCGCTGCTTCACGGCCAGGCAGCCTTTCTGTATTGGTGCCCTTGGCCTGGAAGTTGTCCAGGCCACAGTGAGAGGATTTCTTCCCCCTTCAGGATCCCCAAAGCCCTCTGGAATTCTGGAGCGTGCCTGCTCCTAGCAGCAGGGAGGGAGCCTGCATGTGACTGGAGATGAACGAACTCATCAGGTGTAATGGCTGCATCAGTGTGGCTTGCCTTGTGTGACTCACCATTGCAGGTGTGAAACTAAAGCAGAGGAACGGCCTTGGCTCCCAGGACAGCAGCACTTACACATCCTAGGGTGGGCCAGGAATTGAAGGAGACTTGACACCACCATGCCTTCCCCAGCTGAGGACAGAGCTCACAAAGGAGAGAGCTGACTAATAAATGGCGGATCTAAAAATGAGGGGCAAAGACCTAATGCAAATACTTTGCCAGCTGTATTTAGAAACAAACTCCTTCCTGCTTGCCATGCTCACATTAAGGGCTCAGAAGTGGTCCCAGCTGCACAGACACCAGAATTCAATCAAGGTGGTGGTCTAGCTGTAGCCAATCAAAATTCCCTCCCAGAAATGTGTTTCTGTAGAGTGAAAATTTTATTTTTTAAAAAATATATTTTTATTGCTTTAAGAGAGGGAGGGAAAGGGAGAGATAGAAACATCAATGATGAGAGAATCATTGATCTGCTGCCTCCTGCATGCCCCACACTGGGGATCGAGCCCACAATCAGAACATATGCCCTGATCTGGAATCAAACCATGACCTCCCAGTTCAACACTCAACCACTGAGCCACGCCAGCGGGGTTGTAGAGTGAAAATTTTAAATCACTGACAAATTAGACAATCTCATGCACAGTATATTCAATCTGAAAGATATCGTGGTTTAAAAACATTCTTTAATGGATAATTTTATCCTTATAATAAAATTTTGTCCTGTAAGAATACACTTGAGGAGATTGTAAAGTGATTTGAAAAGCTGGGATTGTGGGAAATATTTAGAGGGAGGGTAACATGTCATTCTCGCTAAGCTAATAATTAAGTTCCTTAAATGTCCTGGCTTGTTTGCTTTTTTAGGTACCTCGAATCTTTATCGGTAAAGAGTGTATAGGTGGATGCAGTGAACTACAAGAGATGGATAGAAGTGGGGAACTGATGGTGCGGCTAATAGAAATGGGAGCTCTAACGCCGTAATTACAGGTGAGTCACAGGTAGGATGCTGGACCGGGAGCACTAAGAGATGGTGGAATTCTACTGCCATGTTTTATCATAACCTGGGAAGGCTAGGGAAAGGATGGTTTGGAGTGATCTGAGGAACTGTAATGTCATTTATTAACTTCCCTTTTTACAAAGGGATTGTGCCAATGGGAGACATCCTTTCACTCAACCTTCATTTCACAAATGTTTTTTGAGCATTTACTATGTGCGAGACACTATACAATGCAGTGGGAATATAGTGATGAAAAAAAGATAACATGAACCTTATATTCTAGAGAGGTGGACAGATTAAAAATAAGTAAATAATTCCTGAAACAAATGAATAGACTACTGTGATAGAACACGGCAGGGGTGGGGGAGCTAATTTAGCTAATATGGTGAGGGAAGGTCTTTCTGAGAAGGGCTGGTTGGGTTGAGCTCTTGTGACTGTCATGTAAAGATGAAGCAGGAGAGCTTTTCGACAGAGGAAACAGCAAGAGCCAAGGCCCTGAGGTGATCAGTATAGAAAATTCAAGAACGAGAAAGCAAGAAGAGCAGACTGAGTACAGTGCAGTGAGAAGGGAGAGTAGTAACACATGTGGGCAGGGGCCAGAGCTCACAGGCCGTGGTAAGCAGTTCAGATGATAATAACTGCAATGTGAAATGAAGGTAATGTTTGCTTCACCTGTGTTCACACTGCAACTCAATTTCAATTAAAAGGCTTCCCAAACACCAAAATGAAGTTTTCTAAAATGGCAGCCTAAAGCAGCGGTCGCCAACCGGTGGTCCGCAGACTACTGGTGGTTCGTGAGGTCTGAAAGGTTGGCCACCACTGGCCTAAAGGATATTCTCGGCTGAACAGAAAACCATAGGGCAGCGAACCCTGTGGAAAGGAACCAGGATACGTCTGGGGTCTGATGAGCCCTCTTCCTCCCCAGCTCTTCTTAGTGCTAGCTAGCCTCCAACTAGTCCAGTTCACAGACTCATAGACCTGGGGGTTGTTTTTTAGTCAAAGGAGACATTTATCGTTCTTAAGCCAAAATGTTCTTTGAGGGGTATTTATTGCCCAATAATTAGTAACTTATCCTTGAGCAATGAGTATATATACTTTGTGGTGGTTACTCAGAATAGCAACTACAACAAAAAAAGTTCTGAAAAAAAATACAAATGAATCCTTTGAAATAAAAATCACTATTATAAACTTTCTAGACAATTCTTTGACATCATCACAGCAGGTGAATACTATGTCTGTTAGCTTTTCAGCCAAACCCCATATACTAAAGCTCTCAAAACTCAATTAATTGGGGTGCCAAATGTTTTCTATTCTAGAACACTTTTTTTTTTTAAGCAGTGTAGGCTTAAGAATGGAAGAAAACAAATGACTTTCCTGGAATATGGGAAATACCATTTCCCCAACTATTAGGGTCCCCATATTCACAAGGCCTCTTTATTTGCATTGCTCTTCAGCGAGATAGGCTCTCAGTATTTTGCTGACAGATGCTTTCAAGGCCACCTGTAATGGATTGTGTTTGAATAACAGGAGTACGTGTTCTGGTGATGAAAGAAAACTGAGGGGAAATCACCTTTCCAAGGAAATGTAATTCTTTGTATTTTTTTTTCCTGGCAGAGCAGACCCAGGCTGATGTCTCCCTTGAGAGCTGCATGGCATTGTGAATGGTGGCAGCACTTCTGGTGGATGGATCTGGGGCGACCTTTACCCAGCAACTGATTACTTAATCTTCTGAAATATCTAAACCAAAAAATGGGAGAGTTCTCAGCAAAAACAGGCTTTTCTTCTTTCAACTCTATTGAAAGTGGACCCACTTGCCACAAACCACAGGTCTGAGATGGTGGATGGACATCTCGGGTTTCTTCCGGATTGGCCTGTGGGTTTCAATAGACCGTGACAAGCTATAGCTCAGGATTCCCTCATTGACCCAAAAAAGTTCTTTCTCTTTTGCACGTGGTTCTTACTATCGTTCGTGTGCCAGGACTCCTACCTCTAAGCCAGTGTTTCCCAACCAGTTTATCCCAGGCTCCCTAGGATGAACTGATAGTTAATTTTATGCTACTGCCCAAAAATTATTTTGTGGAGCTTGAATTTATAGTTTGTATTTTGAAATCGATAGGTATTTTAAATGTGCTTTTCCAAACTCCATGTGTCTCTCCCATCCTATCTTGAGAATCACTGCTCTGAACTTGTGTTCTTAAACTTGACAACTCACAGACGTCATAGGAAATGCCCAACAATTCTGGGAAGGGTCTGAGGGCCGATGTGAGAAGTGCCACATGAAACGCTAAGCACAGTGCGTCTTTCCTTGGTCTACAGAGCTCAGAGGTACACGTGCAGATGCTGTGATCATGTGGCAACACTGTTTGGTGAGATGATCGCCCAAGTACTCCTGCACAAGTGTGTATGAATTTGTTTAGATGATGAACAAAAGTTAAATTTAAAACATTACCAAGAATGTCTATGAAAGTAGCTCTAATTGAGAAGCACTGTCTTAAATGATTTTATCATCTTTTATCTCACACTCTATGAAAACTTAAGAATCCCTTATTATGAAGTTTGTTCTAGAATTACAAGATTAACTTAACATCCTTTTGCAGTCTTAGAGTGAAACGGGGGTAGGGGGGGGTGTGCGGGGAAGGGAAGGAACCACAGGGGGTTGGCCAGTCATGGGAGGTTGGCTGTGGGAGGGAACTAACTTCTGGGGGCAGCTTCTGCATTGAGCGTCTGGCCCCTGGTAGTCAGTGTGCATCATAGTGACCGGTCAACCTGTTGTTCAGTGGTAAGGGTTACTGTCTAACTAGATGAACTAATAAACAGTACAACAGTACTAGGATGAACTGATAGTTAATTTTATGCTACTGCCCAAAAATTATTTTGTGGAGTTTGAATTTATAGTTTGTATTTTGAAATCGATAGGTATTTTAAATGTGCTTTTCCAAACTCCATGTGTCTCCCCCATCCTATCTTGAGAATCACTGCTCTGAACTTGTGTTCTTAAACTTGACAACTCACATACGTCATAGGAAATGCCCAACAATTCTGGGAAGGGTTTGAGGGCCGATGTGAGAAGTGCCACATGAAACGTTAAGCACAGTGGGTCTTTCCTTGGTCTACAGAGCTCAGAGGTACACGTGCAGATGCTGTGATCATGTGGCAACACTGTTTGGTGAGATGATCGCCCAAGTACTCCTGCACAAGTGTGTATGAATTTGTTTAGATGATGAACAAAAGTTAAATTTAAAACATTACCAAGAATGTCTATGAAAGTAGCTCTAATTGAGAAGCACTGTCTTAAATGATTTTATCATCTTTTATCTCACACTCTATGAAAACTTAAGAATCCCTTATTATGAAGTTTGTTCTAGAATTACAAGATTAACTTAACATCCTTTTGCAGTCTCTAGAGTGAAAGGTTAATATGTTTTGGTAATAAAAAAGCAGTCACAGATGACTGACTTTTTTTGTCCAATTCTCTTCTATGTTCTCAAGTCCTTAAGGAATGATATTAATGTGAACACGTCAATTTGAAGCTTTATTCATGTTTGTCCCCTGCCATTATAAATAAAGGTACATGCTATTCACTGAGAACAAATGGTTGATGTGATTTTTAAAATTCATATTGAAATGACAAATAATTTGAATATGTCAACACTAGCCTATTGAATAATGTTTAGGGTTCAATAATTCTTTTTCCATTTCACATTCCATGTTTCAATTTCTCACCAAATGTTCTTGTACTTTTGGCTTCCTCTCCCTTCCCTTATGGGCCCTGGCCACTCCCTTCGACAAGACTGTGGTGGGAGGTGCATACTGTGCCGGTTGCTCACTGTGCAACTATGAATGCCACCCCCTGGAGGTTGTGCAGTGTGCAGCCTGCACAGCCCCTGGTCCACTCCAGACCACTCACCTGCACTTGCTTTCACACCTCTGAGTCCTTGCTCATTGTTTCTTCTCTTCTGCTCTACTTTCAAATTCCTCCTTCAAGACCTCATTTACAGATGATCCCCCCTGTACATACCCTCTCTTCTCACTGCTTTTTTTTTTTTTACTAAAAGCAGCTATTATTCCCTCTTCTATAATCCTAAAGCACTATGCATTTGGGTACTTGACAACTCTCCTCAGGTTGTATTGTAGTTGATCATCTGTACTGGTCTCCTGCCAGATTCAGAAATACTGTACTCAAAGACTAGAGCCTGGACTCTAACGTTGTTGCATGCCCAGTTCCAAGCACAGAAGTTCTGTGTTATCAAAGCAATAGCTGCATGTGGTTTAACGTGTCAAATGATACCAAAGTCTTTCCTCTCTACCCCTCCCAAACCCTAGTCCTTGCTACACATTTATCAGTTTCATGGGTATTTAATCCTATTTTAAAATATCATAAAATGGATTAAACATATATTAGAGTGTAAGCAGGCAGAGTCCTATTTAAATTAACACCTCGGTATCTACCTTCTGAGTTAAGAAATAGAGCAACCATACAACAGTGTTTCTAAAGAACTGACAAAGTGCCTGAGAGGCCATGTGCCCCTTCCCAACGAATCCTTGCCTCCCTCCACAGAGCAGTCTAGCACTCATTCCGGTGCTTCTCTTTAGTTTTACTCCCTACAACGCCCTAAGCAATACATTTTAGTTTTGAAAAGCACAGAGAAAGATAGGTATCACATGATCTCATTCATATGTGTAATTGAGTGAACAAAGTAAACTGATGAACAAAAATAGGTCCAGAGACATAGAAGCATGGAACAGACTGTCTAACCTCAGAGGGAAGGCGGGGGAGGGTGGGTGGGAAGAGATCAACCAATGAACTTGTTTGCATGTATGCATAACCCATGAACACAGTAGCATGGTGAAGGCCTGGGGTGGGGGTGGGGGCAGCTAGAAGAGGTCCATGGGGGAAAAGAGGGGACATATGTAATACTTTCAACAAAGATTTTTTTAAAAGAAAGAAAAGCAATAGCAAACACCACCGTAACTGTGTAAGAAAAGGGCAATATCCTAGCAATCAGATGAATGACCCTGAGAGGAGAGAAGTTGAGCAGAGGCTCAGCTTCCCTGGAATTGACCAGAGGGGTGGTCCTGAGTGAGTCCCTGGGAATACCGGGCACCCGGTTGGGGAGGCTATTGTGTGAGCAGGGAATATATGGTCAATGGAAGTGGGCTGCTCTGCACTCTTTGCTTCCATGGCCACCTCCAGCTTTCAGGAGCAGGTCAGAACAGGTGCCTCTTCTGGGGTGGGGGACACTCCCACGCCCTCTCAGTTGGCTGGTGTGCAATGTGAACAGAACTGTCATTAGCACAAGGCAAGCAAAGTACAGGTAAGGATCTGCTTCAGGCTCATTTGGGCATTCTGTCCGTCCAGCTAACACTCAGGCAGATATACACCTAAAGAAATTAGGGGCAAATGAGCAGATTGTGTCTTTCTCTTTTTTAGTCTTTTTCATTTCAGAGGACCATGTGTCCACCATAGGTTTAAGAGAGAGGGGATGGGAAGTAAACTTTTTGAAACCTTGCTTGTCTGAAAACATTTGATGCTGGTTTGATGGCTCCTAGTGGGAAATTATTTTCCTCCAGAAGTTTGAAGACACTGCTCATTGTCTTTTGCTTTCAGCATTGCTGTTAAGACGTCCAAAGCCATTCTGAATCTTAATCCTTTGTGGGTGACCTATTTGGTTATCTTATTTTATATTCTAGAAGCTTAGAAAATTTTTCCTTTGAGCTCTGTGCGCTAAACTACCGCAGTGCTGTGCCTTGGTGAGGGTCTATTTTCATGTATTATGGGGGCTACTTGGAGGTTTGGAGGGCCCATTGGAAATTCTACTGGATTACTTTGTGGATACTTTCCTCCCCTCCATTTTCTCTGTGTTCTCTTTCTGGAACTCCTAGTAATCAGATACTGGCTTTCATGGACTTGTCCCTAATTTTTGTTTTATTTTCTTTCTAATTTTATCTTTTTTTCCTGGTGGGTTAACTCATCCTTATCATTTTTCTATTGAGTTTTTAATTTCTGATATCATGTTTTTAATTTCCAATAGCTCTTCAATGTTATCCAAATGTTCCTTTTTTATAGAATTGTTTTTGTTTCATGAATGTAGTACCTTATCTCTCTGGTGTTATCGAGATCTTTTTGTTTCCAATTATCATTTTTTTTCTTCTTTCCACGAGTTCTCCTCGTTGTTCTCAGTTATTTCCTTATTCATGTTTTATAGATGCAATCACTTATTTTATCTCTCAAAAGATATTAATTACAGTTGAGGTTTTTAAAAAAGCTGTCTTCTGATTCCTGGATTCGCCCTCTTTTCTCTGAGTCCCTATTTTCTATGTCTGCTTTACATTTGAAGGCCTCCCAATGCTCTGCATTGAACACTTGAGATCTGGTTGTCTGTAAATATTTAAGAATGACACACAAAACACTGGTTGGAAGACCTGTATGTGTGGATTCGGCTTATCAACTGGTGGGCTTCACCCAGAGTCTTTGTTGAAGTGTTACTTTCTACGCAAGGCCTTCCACATGCCTCAATTTAAAAATATCACTGGAATTCCCCATGCTTCTTGCTTATTTTTCTCTAATTTATTTACCACCTAATACATTGAATGCTTTACTTACTTATTTTGTTTACTGAGTGTCTTTACCCCTCAAATGGAGGCCCCTTGAGGCCAGGAATGTGTGTCTGTTTATTTACTGCAATATCTACAGCATGCAGAAGACTACCTGCACATAGTAGGCACTTGATAAATATCTGTTAGGTGTTTGAGTAAATTAATAAATGAATGAATGAACAGTCAGGTGCAGATCCCCCAACTGTTAGTGCCTGGACATTTTTCAAGCCCTTCAGTTTCTCCTATTCCTTGGCCAGAGGGTTGGGT